CAAACCGTATCATGACATACGGGGGAAGCGCTCCGTGCAGGTAGAGGCGAACACACATGCAAGTAGGATAAGGAGGAGTAGCGGCCTGCCTACTCCCTGCTCGTCCTCCCCCTCCTCCTCCCTGTTTGTCCTTTCTGGTTCGTTCTAGCTATTCTCCTTATACATGTTAGCCAGCGTGGACCCCAAACAGAGTTTTGTACCAATGCAAGTGGTGCATTCCATATCTATAGATATGTATATATGTATACACGTGGAGTAGTTGTTGGTTATGCAATTCGGGTGAAGCAGTCAATGTGGTGCAGCATGCGTGATGCCACTTATGTTGTGCAGTATTTGTTGTGTAATCTACGGTGTGCTAAACATATTTATGGTGCAGTGTTCGTGGTGCAATCTGTGTGATGTAGTCTATGTTGAGCAACCCCTGCTGCGAAATGTATGTGGGGCAGTCTATGCGGGGCAATATGTTGGATGCAGTCTGTATGGAGCAGTCGATGTGGTGCAGCACATTTTGTGCAACCTATGCTGTTGAATATTGGTTGTGCAGTTTTCGTGATGCAGTATGCCTCGTGCAATCTATGATGTGCAATTCACATTGTGCAATATAGGTGGTCCGATCTATGCGATGCAATGTGTGTTGCGTATTCTATGTGGTGCAACCTATGTGGTGCAATTAGTTTCTGTTCGCAGTGAGTTGTCCACTCCACTGCTCGCGCAAACATCCCACCCACCCACCCGCAACTTGGTTTGCAACATCTCTTGAGACCGTGACGGTGGGTACCACATGGCACTTGGCAAAAACAGCGACGCCGACGACGACAGCGACAACGACGATGACGACGCCGCCGACAACGACTACGACGACACCGACGACGTCTCCAACGACTTCGACGACGCCGACAACGACGACGACGACGACGACACCGACGACGACGACGACACCGACGCCGGCGACGACGACGATGACAACGACGACGACGATGACGACGCCGACGACGACGATAACGACGACACCGACGACGACGACGACGTCAACGCCGCCGACGACGACGACGACGACGACGACGGCGGCGACGACGACGACGCCGACGTCGACGACGACGAAGACGACAACGACGCCGACGTCGACGACGACGACGAAGACGACGACGACGTCGCCAACGAAGACAACGAGGAAGGAGGGAGGACGACGACGGCGACAACGACGACAACGACGAGGGAGGAGGGAGGACGGCGACGACGCGAACGACGAAGAAGGAGGAAGGACGGCGACGCCGACGACGGAAACGACGAGGGAGGAGGGAAGACGACGACAACGACGACGACGACAACGACGACGACGGTGACGAAATAGGAGGGACCGACGACGAGACGCCGACGACGGACGACGACGACGACGTGGGAGGAGGAGGACGGACGACCACGGCGACAACGACGACGGAAACGACAACGACGCCAAAGAGGACGACGACGACGACGAACACGAGAAAAGACAGAGGACGACGTAGGCGACGACGACGACGACGCGGGAGGAGGGAGGACGGCCGCGACGACGACGACGACGACGACGACGCAAGAGCGCGCGCGCACGCTTTTGTTGAAAAGCCGTGTTGCGAAACCTTAGGTTTTTGTAGGTTTTTTGGACGCACGATTTTGAAATCCTTCCGAAACCAATGGGTTTTGAAGGTTTTTGACATTCGCCCGCGACGACGCGCGCGTTTGCACTTCGTCCCATTTTTTGCAGAGGATTCTCGCGACGGCACACGCGCAAGGGCGTTCGACAGATTTCGACATGCGCGCGCGCGAAGCCCGTTTGGTAGCATGTTGTGAAAGTCTTGAAGAACCGAGGGTTTTCTTAAGATTTCGCAAGAGCTCGCGAGGAAGCTTTTTTTAGCAAATCAGTGTTGCGAAACCCTGTGTGTTTGTATGTTTTTTGGAAACTCGATGGCGAAATCTTTCCCGCACCGAAGGTTTTTGAAGGATTTCGGCATGCGCGCGCGTGTGCAATTCGTCCCATTTCTTGCAAGGGATTCGCGAAAAAGTGTTACGTTAGAACAAACATGTCACCGCATAGTGTTTTTTTACAAGGGAACCTCAGGGGGGGGCACACGGCCTGGCTGGGATGGTACGATTTCATATTTAGGATGGCCGAGTGGTCAGGATCATATATGATTTACATACCCGAAAGGGGAACCGATAAGTCCGGGGTGGGGTGGTAGAGTCTATTCTCTTTTTAGAAAGGAGAGTTCACTTTGCCGAACTTGAAGTTGTCGTTTCCAGTGCTCGCGCAATCATCCCACCGACCCACCCGCAACTTGGTTTGCAAAACCACGCGGCAACGATTGCGTTGAGTGCTCGGCGTTGGCTGGTGCATCTCTGCGGCCGCACTGAGCCGCGCATGCTCGCGCGCACAGCGGCCAGCTAGTCTGGCGCGACTGACGCGAACACGGTGGCGCTGACCGCTCGGCGCGCTAGCGGGCACTTCAGTGAGAGTCGGCGACTTGGGCGGGCGCGGTATCATGGCAACGTCGACAACGGTAGACACGATGATGATCGTTGCGATGCTCGCGATGATGTTGACAGCGACGACGTGGCAGCCAGTGACGGCGCGGATGCTGATATCGCCGACGACGATGATGGCATCTTCGCGTCGATGATGAAGGTTTTGGAACGAGTTGGACATTCGCGCCCGGCAGACGCGCGAGAGTGGCCCGAATGATTTTTGACGCGGATCGTTCCAGCCCAGCACGCGCGCAAAAACGTCCGAACGATTTCGGCGTGCGCGCGTGAAACCTGTTTGGTAGCATGATATGACCATGTCGAAAAGCGCATCATGTTCTTAAGAATTCGCAAGAGCGTGCGCAAGTTCGGTTTGAAATTCAGCGTTGCGAAACCTGGCGCATTTTAGATTTCTTTGGGCGCTCGATTTTGACATCCTTACGAAACCGAAGGTTTGTGAAGGATTTCGGCATGCGCACGCGACGACGCGCGCGTGTGCACTTCGTCCCATTTGTTGCAACGGGTGTAGAACATTGATGTTTTTTATATAAAAAGCGCGCATAATTTTAATTTGCAGAGGATGGCAGGGGGGATGGACGATGGGGCCACATCGTGTGGACATTGCAATACGAAAAAGGGGTGTCGATAATCCTTGGGGGAAGTAGAATTTATTGTTTTGAGAAAAGGAGAGTTTATGTTGTGCCATCTATGTTAGGTGGTCTTGTGTATTGTATGCAATATACATACACATATATATGTATATGCACATGTGTATACATATATGATGTAGTCAACGTTAAGCCATATAGGTGGTGCAGTTTCGGTTGTACAATATATGTTGTACAGCCGATGTGGTGCAACATGTGTTTTGGAATGTATGTTAAGCAATCTACGTGGTACAATCAGTGTTGTGCAATCTATGTCGAGCAACTTATGAGGCGGCGACGAGGCGGCGACGGGGATTGCGACGACGGCAACATAGCCTCCAGACCACAGGCCCAGACGACGGGCGGCGACGGGGCGGCAACGGTGGCAACATTACCGCCAGACCGATTGAAAGGCCCAGGCGACGGGCGGCGACGAGGCGGCGACGGGGCGGCGATGGCGGCAACGTAGCGGCCGGACCGACGAACAGGCCCAGACGACGGGCGGCGACGAAGCAGCGGCGGGGCGACGACAGCGGCAACAGAGCTGCTGGACCGACAGACAGGCCCAGTTGTTTAGCAACGTTTAAGAACGCCTAAGTGCAAGCATTGTTTAAGGAATAACCCTTCCTTCTCGCACCAGCAGACGTGCCAGTAAGGCGGGCCTGGCGTTTCACCGAAGATTTCCTTACCGCCTTTGATCCTGAAATTTGCAACCATTTCACGGATGAAGCGCGGGTGGTTTGCAACATGTGGTTTTCGCATTAAGGCCGCGCGCATTCGTCTCAACAGCTTGCTATAGTTTCACGGATCGAGGGCGGGCGGCTTTCAAAATGTGGTCCTCGCTTTCGCGCCGCGCATATTCGTTAAAGCTTCCAACAGTTTCAAGGATGAAAGGCAGGTTTGTTTCAAACTCTGGTTTTCGCGTCAGCGCCGCGCAGATTCGTCCTTACAGCTTGTAGCAGCTGCAAGGATGGAGCGTGGCTCCTTTCCAAAATGTGGCTCTCGCTTTAGGGCCGCGCGCATTCGTTTTACACGGTTGTGTACAGTTTCGCGGGTTCGTCTGGTTGAACACCCAAGAACCCAAGAATGGTGCTCTGGCGCGATTGAAGTTGTGGGGACGCGACAATCACGTTGATTCGCGCCGTGGGTATTTTTTGGACACGATTCAGGACGATTGAACGGTTGTTTTCCAACGGGACACACCCCGCAATGGAAATATTTCCAGGAGCACAGGAAGAGAGGATTTGGAGGGGGGCTTATTGCAACATCTTTGATGCGTCTTGGGTTTACACTGGTCCATCATCCTCCATGCTCGAAGCTGCGGGCTGATTCATCCTGTCGGAACGAAAACGAAGCCCCTCCTCCCTTCTCCCTTTCCTCGTCCTCCCCTCCCCCTCCTCCCCGCCACGGGTGAGGCCCTATGGTCCGGGCCACGGACCCTCCAGAGGCTGGGCGGCTGTGGCGCCAGGCCCCCGCCCCCGGAGGCCCGCCCGCGGCGCCAGCCGCCGGGGCTGCGCTCCCCTTGGCGGCCCTCCGATCGGGGCCCTCGGATGGGATCCCTGCAAGGCGTATCTGAAAATATTAGATGCGTTTAGATACGATCGCGCCCTGGTGCCGGCGAGAAGCCTCTCGTATCTACTTTTCTGCAACGACGACAATGTATGTATGTATGTATGTGTGTATGTATGTATGTATGTATGTATGTATGTATGTATGTATGTATGTATGTATATATATACACATGCATTTTAGATGCGCCCCTCCGGCCTGCACGGGAGCGCTTCCGAATTTAACATTTATACTTTTCTGGCACATCTAAAAATTTGGGACCGTATCTATTTCTCTTCAGGGGATCAGATGTATTCGTATTTTATTGGTTGGAGGGTGACACTGCCGCGCCGTGTATATTCGTATCTAATTTTGTCAGAACAGATGCTGTTGGCTGTGCTCTCGGAGCGAACCGGACCTATGATACCAGCTGAAGCAATGAGCAATGGGACGGGGATAGTGGGGGGCCGTAGCGATGGGGAGTGTGGAGACGAGCGACGACGACAAAGAGGACGACGAGTCAGGATGGATAGCAACAATGAAACGAGATTCAGGAGAAAATTGGAAGGGAACGGGGAACCGCAGGAGGGGGAGAGCAAAAAGGAGGAGGTGGCGGAGGACCAGGACGAGGAGGATCGTCAAATCGAAGGTGAAGGGAGTGGTGCGGGGTGCGGGCGAGGAAGTTTTAGGAGGACTGGGGGGATGGTTGACGACGACGATGCGTTGAGGCAGGAAGAGAGGGGCCCAGGAGACGGACAAAGGAAGAAAGAAGGAGAGGAATTACGACGGGGAGAACGACGATAATCAATAAGAAACTGAGGGATACGACCGTACGCGGGCGTGCGAAGACGATAGAGGAGGGGGGGACGTGGGGCAGGGCAGCGAGAAGGAGTTCGGGGGAGTGCGGGGGAGTAGGCTGAATATGTGGAGGAGGAAGAGGAAAAGGAGAGAGATGTGAGGATGAATCAAAGGCGTGATGGGGGGATCGTAATTTCGATGAGGGTGAATACGGATCATGGTGTGGAGGCATGGGGAGGAGTGATTCGGACGATGGGCGCGGACGAGGAGGAGGATGAGGACGCGCGGTGAGGAGGCAAGAAAAGTGAGGTGGAGTAGGAGGGAGCGCCAGGAGGAAAACGTGGAGGAGGGGGAGTCAGGACGGGGATGAAATAGAGCAGTGATTGAAGAGAATGGCTCCTCGTCCTCGTGATCGTTCGGCTAGCCCGCCGTCCCCCCTTTTCCCATCGGTTCGTCATGATTTCCCCCTTCACTTCCTCCTCCTCATTGTTGTCGTCCTGACTGGCATGTGCGTTGGATTCCCTGTTCGTGGTCATTGAGCGGCCTCGGCATGGCAGTGGAGACGTGGCGCCGTACCTTTTCCAGCGATGTGCGCCAATTAAACGTATCTGTTCGCATCCACTGAAACATATCTGTGCGCCAATTAAACATATCTACAATGAGTAAGGACACGCACCTTTCGTATCTTTTCATTTCTGAAAATGGAGCAATCGTATCGAAAGGTATGTATCTTTGGAAGATATCGATTTGCATACAATTTTATCAAGAAGGACGCTGTACCACACATATAGGTCAGGGAGGAAGTTTAGATACCCCGTGGCCGTTCCGAGTGCAGTTGCCGCTGGGTCAATCAGCAAACACCGTCGTTTTGCAGATCTGTCTTCCAGGGATCGGGGGAGGGAGGGAGCGGTTGGGGAATGATGATAAGTAGGGGGCGGATGGCGATGCTGCTGCTGATGATGATGATAGTGATGATGGTGCTGCTGCTGCTGCTGATGATGGGGTAATGGTGGTGATGATGTTTCATGATGATGGTGGCGATGAGGGTGGTGCTGGTGGTGGTGGTGATGGTGGTGGTGGTGGTCATGCTGATGCTGATGTTGGTGGTGATGATTGTGGTGATGCTGTTGCGGAGAAGTTTGGCGGTGTTGTTGTGGTGATGATGATGCTGATGTTGTCGATGATGATCTTGATGATACTGATGTTGCTGGTAATGATGGTGCTGATGAGGATGGTGGTGATGCTGATGAGGGTGGTGGTGATGATAATGACGGTGAGGATGCTGGTGGTGATGATGATGATGGTGGTGATAAGGATGATATTCATGATGAGGGTGTTGATTAGGGTGCAAACGACGATGTTTTTGACGAGGGTGATGGTGTCGATGCTGGTGACGACGATGATGATAATAGTGTGGATGAGGATGAAGATGAGGATGAGGCGCAGGAGGAGGACAATGACAGGAGGAGGAGGGGCTGGAAAACGTGGTGGAAGAGGCTGATAGGTCGCTGTGCCGTCCCGCGTCAGACCTGGTTTTGATCGTCGCTCATTCGTTATCGTCTGTTTCCGTTTCTGGACCCCCTTGTGGCCACGATTGGGTTCGTTTCGAAATTCTGGCCAGAACGCATCCTCATATTTGCCTTTTGTTCGTCTGAGGACGGGACCTTACCAGTCTGGAACATATCCCTATCCCTATGCTTGACATCTCCTCATCACGATGCCAATCTTAGGGATTCCTTGTTTTTTGAGGGCGCATCCCTAAGATTGTCATCGCCTTTTGGCGTGTCAATCTCAGGGATAGGAATAAGTTCGATGCTGGTAAGGATCTGGGTCCTCCGCCGTCGTGTTTCTGTTCGGTCGCGGCGTTGTTCGACCTTGGGCTCCGCGGGCCGCGCTGGAAGGACAAGCTGCCCTCCCCCTTGAAAGGGCTGGGACCGCTGGGGCCGCGCAGTGAAAGCATCCCATCGTCGGATGCGTGGGCGGAGGGCCTGCGCTCGAAGGTGAGAGGCTTGGAGCGCTTCGCGCCCTCTTCGGCTTCTGGGAGGCCTCCTTTCGCCAATGCTGTGTTCGCCCTGCATGTCTGGCAAGCGCGCAGGACAGCGAGAGAAGATCGTGGAGACGACCAGCCGGGATCGAGATCGGGCTGCGGTCTTTACGTCGGCCGGGAAACATGGGTGGGGCTACCCAGGTGCCGTTCGTGCGTCTGCCGTCGAGGTAAGCACACCAAGGTCGACGCATCAAACAAACGATTGGCCTGCTAGCCGGTGCCCCCGCAGAAACTTACCATTGACCGTGCCATTCAAACTTATCAGACTGCCCATACGAATCCAGATGCGTACACCGACATTTGTGTCTAATGGCCTTCGGCCCATCCCACTACGGTGCCTGCGTTGTGGTTATGAAGCCTATTGGATGTTCGTTGGGATCTCGTGGGAGGTCTCTCGGGGGGCTCTTGCAGGCAGTTTCAATTCCTTTTGGGGGATGTGTTGGAACCAGTGGAGCCTCTTCTGGGCCTCTTGGGGGGCTGCTGGGTTCCTCTTCGGGCCACTTGGGCGCCTCTTGGGGCCTCCTGGGGGCCCCTTGGGGCGGAATGCTCGGATTTTCGGTTCGTGTTGCCTCTCTTGGGCCCCTTTTGGGCCGTGTTGGGGTTTTCTTGGGCTGTCTTGGGCGCCTCTTGGGCCGTCTTGGGTCGCTCCTAAGCCGGTTTAGGGCCCTCATGGAGGCCTCTTTGGCCGTCTTGAGATGTTTTTGCGGGCCTTTTGGGCCGTCTTGGAGCTTCGGAAACCAGAAAAGGCCAGAACGCCCAAATCCTTCGAAAACCGAGGAACATTTGGAGGCATTTCGGATGCCTCTTGGGTGTCTTGGAGGCCTCTTGGGCCGTCATCGGCCCGTCTTGGGCATCTTGCGCCGATAGTTCGGCGACTCCGGGCCCTCTTAGACCGTCTTCGGGGCCATAACAATATACAGACATGCGTACACATATACCTATACATACATAAACATGTATGTATATGTATATACAGAGATATGCATACATACATCTATATTTATATATATATATATATATATATACATATGCACAAGACTGCATTGGCGCTTCGCGTCATTCGCCTTGTTCTGGACCCCCCCCAGCAAATCAATAATTCATCGCTTGCTTCAGCAGGGGGATCTCGAGGCCTGGACGGGCGACTGGCTCAATTTGCTGATATCCCTGGTGCCTGCTGACACCGCGTTCGCCCGATGCGCTTGCACGCTTGTGCGCAGGAGTGGGGAAGGAAGGATGATTTTTTTCACGCGCGAAGGTCCTTTGAGGAAGTAAGGAGCGTTCCCATGACACGCCGAAGGAGTCGCAGTAGCTCCAAACAAATCGATGTCTGGTCGCTTCCTGAATGCCTGGAGGGCTCCAGGCACCCAGGAGATCTTGGATCGTCGAACTTCGAATCTCGATCCATTGCCTGTCTCTCTCGATCGAGGAACTTAACCTCGAGATTCAAGCGTGGAATCAAGATCGTCGGATCAGCTCGATGTACTTCGTAGGAAAACGCCGTCTGGGCGTTTTTGGGGCTCTTTTGGGCCGTCCTGTGGCCCTCTTGGGCCGTCCTGGGGCCTTCTTGGGCCGTCTTGGGGAGCTGGGGCCCTCCAGGGGCCTTCTGAAGCCATCGAGGGCCGTCTTGAGGGCCTCCAGAAGCCTTCTTGGGGGTCTCCCATGGCTTTCGTGGGTCTCTCTTGGAAGCCTTCTGGGGGCATCTTGGGTTTTTTGTGGGCAGTCTCGGGTCTTTCTGGGACAGTCTTGGGGCCCTCTTGGGCTGACTTCAAACCCTCTGGGGAGCCTCTTAGGCCGTCTTGGGGCGATATCGGGGGCCCATCAGGCCGTCTTGGATGCCGCGAAGAGTCAAAAGGCGGATCTGCTAAACATATACATTTTCCTGCGGGAATGAGAGATGTGTGCTTTTTCGGGGCTCTCTTAACGGCCTCTTCGGGCGTCTTGGGGGCCTCTGGGGCCGTCTTCAGACAGTCGAGGTTCCTCTTGGAGCGCTCTTGTGCTGTCTTGGGTCTCTCCTGCGCATCTCCGATGACCCCTCTGATCGCCGTGAGTCTGCTCGCAAGGCACGGCAAGGCGCCCTCGGAGGCCCGGAAGGGCCAGCGGGTCTTTTCCAAGGGCGTCCAGGAGGCAACCGAGACGTCTGAAAAGTCGTCTGGGGTGTCCCTGGGGGGGGGGGTCGGTTTAGGGGTGGGGTGTGTGGGGGGGTTCCGGGTAATGGAAATATAAGAATAGGAATATATGTGTTTGCGCGCACACGCATCCATGCTTATTCATATATATAGAGAGAGAGATCTATTCTGTACATAGAAACACACTCATGTATATCAGGCAAGACCGATGCGTAGAACGACCAACCTTTGGGTTTGGTAGACTCGTGTCTCCCTCGTCAGGATCGGGGGGTGCTTCTAAGGATCCCGCCCACGTCGACGACACGTCGCCGGACTCGTGGACCGCACATTTGCGGCAGCTTTCTTGTGCTGCTGTAGTTGCTTCGCTCACAGGGGCCGTCCTGGAACATGTCAGCAGGTACGTTCTGAGAAGCAGGACGACGATGATGATGATGTTGATGGTGATGGTGATGATGATGATTGTGGTGATGCTGCTGCTGCTGCTGATGATGATGATGATCATGATGATGGTGATGATAATGGTGGTGATCATGATGATGCAGATGACTATGATGATGCTGGTGAATGTGACGATGATGATGCTGATGATGATGCTGATGACGATGATGATGATGATGCTGATGATGATGATGGTGATGATGATGATGGCGATTATGATGATCATGGCGATGATGATGGTGTTGATGAACATGAGAGGCGAGGAGATGAGAGGGAAGGGTGCTGGCAAGTGGCAGTAATCAGTGATGTTTCTGTAGACAGGGAAGGAAAGGCGGAGGACGGAGGATCAGGAGGAGAAGGAAGGGCGCTTGGATGTTGTGGAGGGATGCGGGATGGCGGATGGAGCATTGCTAGCCGTTGGAAGATGTTGCGTGGCCGTGCACACCTCCTGATTCGGCGCAATTGCGATTAGAAGCAAGCGGCTTACCTGCGACGAGCGTGGCTGACATGGTGAAGTGAGTTTTCAGAGAACGAGGCAGTATGATGGATGAGTCTGCCAACAGAGCGATGGGCACCGAGCGTCGATCGCACCCGGTGTGTGCGGTGGCCATTGCACCACGCCTCTGCGATTCACAGCACAATGTCTTCATATAGTAGCCTGATGGGGGATGCTCGGGCGGCAAGTCCACGGCACATGGGCCATCGTGGCGGCATTCGGCCATGCAGCGCATATTTACGCAGTGTCTACACATCCCTCACATCCGAAGCCATTGCGTTAGAGTGGGCTAGGCTATTGCAATGGCCTTCTGCCTGTGCTGCCGATCCGGGCCGCCACCGCGTAGTACAGCGAGGAGCGAAGAGGTTTGAGGCGAGGTTCGATATGTTCGGAGGTCTTCGCTGGCTCTGAGTTCATCACTTGGGCTTCCGAGACACACCAAGTCAGGCCATGCACTTCTGGCCTGGTAGCGCGCGAGGCGCCGCCTCTTGGAGCCTCTTGGGGCCTTCTGGGGGCCTCTTGGGATCTTCTCGGGGGGCGCTTGGAGTCCGTTTGGAGGCCTCCTGGGGCCTCGTGGGGGCGCAACAGGAGCCTCTTGGGGCTTTGGGGATCACCTCTGGGCGAAAGGCTTGAAGGGTCAGTTCGAGTTCCCCTTCTTGGGCCCCTCTTGGCGCCGTCTAGGAGCTTTTTGGGGTCACTTCGAGGGTCTCCTTCGCCACCTTGGGACCCTCTTGGGCCGTCTTGGGGCCCTCTTGGGGGCCTCCTGAGCGTTTGAGGGGTGGTCTTGAGGGCCTCGTGGGCCGTCTTGGGGTGCTCTTGATACCGAACAGCCGTCATTGCCAGAATCATGCCAGAACCAGAGAATGCAGGGTTTGTGGACCTCTTGGGGTCTGCTGAGGGGTCCTCGCCGTCTTGAAGTGTCTTGAAGGCCTCTTGCACCGTCTGTATGCCTTCTCAGACGTCCTGGAGCACTCTTGGGCCGTGTGCATCTTTGTCCGTCTGGGTGGCCTCCTTGGTCCCTCTTGGCCCAACTTGGGGCGGCTTGAGAATTCAGTGACCCTGTCCCTCCCTCCCTACCCCAGCACAGTCACCCTGTCACGTCCCCCAGCAGAGCAAAGCTCAAGCTCAGGTTGTAGCTTCATCAGAGCTGAAGCCTGACATTAGCATTTCTTCAACTTACAAACGCACACGCTGGATCGTTGCGTTTGAGTTTCGTGTGTGAGACTTGGACGTTGCCGAGTTTGAAGTGAGGACAGATGCCACGACACACCTTGAACTCACGCACAGAAGTCATACGGCTAGTGCTACCCCGACTTACGCCGACAGGAAGAAGTGTGCACGGAGAAACAGGACGATGATGGGGAGGACGAGCAGCAGCAGGAGCGATCATATTCTCATACAGTGATGAGGAGGACACGCCTTGCCCCCGTGTGCCAACACGAAAGTGTATGCTCCTCCTCGCCGAGCGCCTCTGGCCATGTGGGCTCCAGGCGCGCGGCCATATTTCGATAGCAATTGGGCGCTGCTGCGGGCCCTTGGGCCTGCGCCCTCGACGCCGCATCGCGGCGGAGCGTGAAACCCATCCTCAGGAGGAAAGGAGGCAGGAGGAGGAGGAGGAGGAGGAGGAGGGGAGGAGGAGGAGGAGGAGGAGGAGGAGGAGGAGGAGGAGGAGGAGGAGGAGGAGGAGGAGGAGAGGGAGGAGGAGGAGGAGGAGGAGGAAGGCAAAGGAGGCCGAGGCGGAGGGCCGTGGGATCAGCGTCGAGAGCGCGTGGCAGCGCTCCGTACGACCCTCCGGGACGGGCGCCAGACCGCCAGGCGGTGGACCGCGGAGGTAGGTCGAGAGAGCGTGGTAGCGCTCCGTACGACTTCGGGACAGGAGCCACGCCGCCAAGCCGTCCGAACCCCCCTCTCTCGCCGAGCTCGCAGTCGGGCGGGGAGGGCTGGCAGGAGGTCCGCGGGGGGGCGCGCGACTTCTGCTTTCACAGCCAAGATGCAGCTGACGCCTTTGGTCAATGAGGCCAGCGGCATGCGTGAGAAGAGCACGGTTTCGTATCTTCTTCGCCTCGGCTTACGAGGGCGGTGCAGTCCCCTGGTTCCATATCATCACTTCGCTCGTCGCGCGCGCACGTGGCCAATGCCACGGGCGGCGAGTGTCCGAGGACGTGCGTCAACCGGGCTCCGAACCCTTTGCGCAATTGCCGCTGCATTTGGTTCAGGCCCCACGGCAGCAAGCAGCATGGTGATGCGAATCTCTGGATCAGGCTTGGGCCCGACCGCCTGAAGCAAACAAACAGCAGAAGGATTCACCGTCGCAGCAGGTCGGGTCCATCGAGCTCGCTACGGAGGCGGAGCTCGCGAAGCGCAAGGACGGTCCAGTGGCGCCGAACGCTCGGTTGACGGAGATTTGCGAGGCGACCCTAAAGGACGAGCGTCTGTGAGCGGCGGCGGAATGCGCGATCGACCTCGGGGGGGGATAACCACATCTTGAACATGTGCCCGCGCTGCAAGACGGCCTGCGCCGACGCAGGTGGGCGAACCAGAAGGCGCCGCGACCAGGTGACAGTGGAGGTGCGCGAGCAAGGAGCGCGGCCGCAGGTGCCAGAGAGGGGCGCCGACGCATGGGGGCACCTCGTCACCATCTTCCAGTCGGGCGCCATCATCGCGAGCGGCGGCTCTGAGATCGCTAGCGAGAAGGAAGCGAGGCGCATCGAGTGCAGATCTGGTCTACTTCGACCGCGGGGCCCCAGAGCAGGAGGGCGTCCTTTCGGTCCCGAGGGCGGCCGAGCTGGCGTCTGTCGTCAACGCTGCGCGGGGGGGAATATCAGCGCGAGGGAACCGAACGGTCATTCATTGTCCCTGGGTGCGTGGCTGAAGTGGGGATCCGTGGTGAGGATTATGCTTGTTGCGTTGTTGTTGTTGTTGTTGTTGTTGTTGTTGTTGTTGTTGTTGTTGTTGTTGTTGTTGTTGTTGTTGTTGTTGTTGTTGTTGTTGTTGTTGTTGTTGTTGTCGTCGTCGTCGTTGTTGTTGTTGTTGTTGTTGTTGTTGTTGTTGTTGTTGTTGTTGTTGTTGTTGTTGTTGTTGAACATTATTACTTCTAAAGAATAATTATTGTTGGGGCCCCTGGTGCATGGCCCCCCCGCCGCGCCTAGGCCGCAGCCTCATTTTCATCATTTTCGTGAGGAAGTCTCAGGCAAAACGATGTCATCCGGATCCGGTTGTGTTGTTACGATCGGTTTTCCCTTGCAAAAAATAAGCTAAAGTGGACATTTCTTGTTCTAACATAACCAAACTTCAAGAATCCCTTGCAAAAAATAAGGTAAAGTGGACATTCGCGCGCGCAAGACGAAATCCTTCCAAAACCTTAGTTTCGTAGCGATTTTAACATAAAAACATCAAAAAACCAATGGTTTTTCAAAAAAAAATGTCAAAATTTCATCCCGCGCGCTCTTGCGGATTCGTAGGAAACCCAACACTTTTTAAACATTTCTGTCAAACGGGCTTTTGCGAGCAACTTTTTCGAACTTCTGCAACAACGGTTGCGCACCTGCCAGGGCCATCATCCCTGTCAAATAATACCATGCGGGACACATTCGTTTTTTCTTCGCGCGCGCACGCCGTCGTCGTCGGCCGCGGGGCCCTGAATAGTAGCCACGGTCGTCCGCATGCCACGAAGTGAAGTGTCCGAACGTCATAGGGCGGGAAGCTGGGTGTGGGTGGTGGCGAAGAGTCGTTTGGAAATTTGGTAGAGCTTGAACCGGCCCCCCCACAAAGTGGGGGTATTGCCCGCCTCCTATGAAAACCCTGGCACTGGTGAGAACGGAGTGTCCCCACGTGCTAGTAATTGTTGTTGTTGTTGTTGTTGTTGTTGTTGTTGTTGTTGTTGTTGTTGTTGTTGTTGTTGTTGTTGTTGTTGTTCTTGTTGTTGTAAGTGTTGTAATTGTTGTAAGTGTTGTAAGTGTTGTAAGTGTTGTAAGTGTTGTTGTTGCAGTGGTTGCTGCCGTTGCTTTGTTGTCGCCGCCCCCCTTCGACCCACCCGCGACCCGCCCCCCGCACGCCCCGCCCCGCGACTTGCCCCGCGACCCACCGACCCACCCGCGACCCAACCCGCGACCCACCCGCGACCCACCCCGCGACCCACCCGCGACCCAGATCGCGACCCATCCGCGACCCGCCCGCGACCGACCCGCGACCCTTTTGCGACCCGCCCGCCACCCACCCCGCGACCCACCCGCGACCTACCCACATCGGTTGAAACAACAATCGGCGCCTGCGGCGGGTCAGCGGCCACCAATGTAGGAGTCGACTTCACTGCTGGTGCCAGACTATAAAGAGTAAGGGGAGGAAAACACTTCAGGCCAGGATTGGCAAGTTGAAGAAGCGACCCCGCCTATTGCGTGCCTTGCG